TACCTGGACGGATTCGGCGTTTCTCCGCTGACGTATTGCCTCTCGGTTTCTTTCAGATGAGTTGGGGATAGATTTCTACCATTAGCAGCTGATTACATCAGAGGGGCACCGGCGTCTTGCGAGTGGTCGGATATGGATGCATGGGATTTTATGCAGTGATCGAAGTATGTAGTGTAGGATAGATTGTCAAGTGATCTCTATGGTTGATCTTCGTACAGTACTGTCCCAAACAGCATCCGTGAACTTGAGTATGTACATTACTCCAATTGCGCTATATCCCTGCACATGCACTTAATCGTTCATGCGTTTTGTTCTCCGACGTACTGATTAAATTGCCAATTCATTAGTTCATTGTCACGTTCAGGTACTTTGTGTTCAGGTACTTTAGACGCATCGTAATCGATTCCATTCGAACTTGTTGGCAGGTCTTTCTCATGAGCTTTCTGGGCAGATTCTGTCCATGGCCCGAAATCACACATGGATAGTTCACTCCAGCTTGTGTGATCTTGGTAGAAGGGTAGGTTTGGATCATTGTTCATGGTCGGACCAAAATCCCGTGGTAATCTGGAGTCTAGCTCTGGATTCCCCCAGGAGCAAGACAGACACGGTCGAGCGTTCAGATAATAAGAACATGAGGAATTTCCGTGTGGAAGCCATGTGTAAGGAGCGAGCATGACAGAGAGGGGTGGCTGTCCGATGGCAACAACAATCGGGAGTGTGACGGCTGCGTAGGCTGGCATGACGGTTGGACAAATAGAGATGGCAGGAGTGCCGAGACCACGCCAAGGGTTGTTCGAATCATAGTTGATCTGCCAGCAAGCGCTAGCGGACGAGGGGTCCGAGATCGACGGATGTGCTTCGGCTCTCGGTTGCTGCCCCGCGTCGGCCTGTCCGTTGCAACACCACGGATTCATCTCGTAGTCTCTCAGTATGATCGTGCTTTGGAAAGAGTGCTACAGGACACCTTCAGTACTCGGGGACTTACTTATATTTTGGCCATGGAACGTGCAATCCTGAGTTCGACCCCCCTTACTCCGTATACCCAGTCTCGGTTGGCATTACATGCCGATGTCGAGCAGCGAGCTTCGATTTCCGTTGCTCGATGTGTAATTGTAATTATATCTCCGCAATCTCATGCCGAGTCTGGTGGGTAAATAGTCGACTGTCAAGAGCTTCCCCGGCCGAACTGGCCCATATATTCAAAGCTTATCCGTAGACCTTTTGAGCCAGGCTTAGCTCTTTTGAGCGATATTGCATCTGCCTTTCGGGCTTGGCACTCTCGTCTTTACTGGCCAGGATGACGACTGATTGGCGGATGTTTTGATGCGCGAGAATCAATAGTCGAGCACGTCAGTTCGGTGGTCGCGTGTCTGTGTGCCACTCTGCTCCAGACATCGGAAGACACCGCGCATGCAGGGAGGCTTGCAGATCGACGCAAGTGTAGCCAATCAACCATGCTGCTTTCGATAAAGTCGAAAGACTGGCATAAGGGGCGTTCTTTGACTCCGATCACAAAGAGCACCCCAACCTCAGTCGCAGTTTACCACTGTTGTACTGTATTGGTCTCTGGTCGACATGCAAGAATGCCGGAAAGTTATGTTGTCAGCGGCACTCGAATGAATATTCCGGCTCCATTGTCCTGACAATTTTCATGAGATACGCCGAATGATTTTCGACGAAAGAAATCTGATTAGCTGGAGCCCTGGAGTACATGTCTCGTAATATCGCCGAGTTCACGACCAATGGACCAATTCGTGTCATTGGGCTTGATCAGAGAAATACAGTATTATTGGACTCTCTTTCAGTCTCCAATCGTTCATCGATATGCTGGCCACCCTCACGAAGCGGTTGGCCGCTGTGTCGGCCATTCTAACACCAGTTTGTCCTGGTCATGCAACATCAGCACTACAGAATCTTTGTCCGCAAAACCTTACAACAGATGAAAAAAATCTCACCGATGTCCTCTGCCTGCGCCCTCAACGCGACGACTCTTTCGGGGGAAAGCAGTCACACAACCAGAAGAAGATGGGTTAACACTTTTCCCTCCTGATCAGGACGCTGCTTCATGGCTCCAGTCATGATGCCTTTCCGACCCACTCTGCTTGCAGTCACGAAGATGGATTGAGATGGATGTGTCTCCTACACATGGGTCACTCTTCGTCGACTTGGACATGCCACCTCGGCCCTGTTCTTGTTCGTCACTCTTCCTCGAGACGTCCCTCACACGTTTTGAAGCACCCGGAACCGATGCACCTTTGACTCTGCACCGTGCATCTCGGAAGGCCCTCGCGTTTCTATCCTCAAGCTACACAACAATGCTCAAACTTGCATCCGACCTTAGCAGCTGGCGACCATGGTCCAATTCAGGCACAGGGTACGAGAAGTTCTCCATCGATGGCCTTACTTTTTCAGTGTTTCCGGATCTCTCTCGGTTGTCGTTTGCAGAAGCTCATCAGCAACGACTAAAGCAACAAGGGCCAGTGATCAAAGGCCGCACAGTAACTCTGGCAATAGCAGACTGGACAAATGCAAGTGATCCCGTACAAAGGACAACGACAGCGCAGGATCCTTCGTGGGAGTCTTTCGATGAGACCATCCTCATTGAAAAATGCGAAGATGTCATAACGAAGCATAGGGCTGTGAAATCTGGCCCACTCGAGTATGTAACGTGCTCGGCACAGCATCCTCGTCGACGCTCTGCCCTGGGACTTCCGGACACCCCTCTGTCTACCAGCAGACGTCTTCTAGCCACTCACAACCACATCCCCGGTATCCATTCGAGTCAGGTTCGGGTCAATCTAGGAACATCTTTCGTCTTCCTGCACAAGCAAGAGGTGGATCTTCAATCTATTACAATGCTCTGGAGCGGCGACCCCGTCCTTTGGATCGTCGTCCCACCGAGGCAAGCCTCCGTCCTGGAGGGACGTCTCGCGGATAATCTGAAGCTTCCGCAAGCCTGCAGCCAGTTCATCCGTCATGCCAATCTCCTGGTGCCACCGTCGGTACTGTACGAGTGGGGGATCACCTTTAACATTTTCCTCCAGCGACCCGGAGAGGTCGTACGAACAGACTACCTCAGCTATCAGTGGGCATGGAATACCGGCTCCAATGTCGTCGAGAGCATCAGCTACTGTGAAGCAGATTGGTGTCCCTCACCCATATATCGACATTGCCGGAAGTCCAGCCGCAATTGTGGTTCGAGTCCCGTCACGGCCGAGGCCATGGTGCTCGGCCAATATCGTCCACTGGATATTTTGGAGGAATTGGGCGAAGACATTATCGATCCCCAAGATGATGAAGTCACAACTCCAGGTCATGATAGTGACTCGCAGTCGGAGTCCACTGTAACCTCTCCAACGCATGCTTCGCCTTCTGGCAACTATCCTTCTGATGGGAACTCTCTGGCCAAACTGGAAATCAAAGCAAACAATGCTTCGTCAGGCTCTCCTGCAAATCGACTCCTTCAAGCTTGCGTCGAAAGTGAGGATGAGGATTCTGAAATGAAAGACGTTGAAGATGATCCATCTCCTGCACAAGAACCCGATCTGCAGATGCCGTCCAATGACTCGAGTCCGACCAGGACCCCAGCGGACGTACGTATGGGCCGGGATTCTGACGACGATACGGATGAGGCCGCGAGTGACGCTGCATACTCTCAGCCAGTGTCATCACCGAGGGATCAGCGTTCGATTGCCGGAAGTATTCCAGAATATGCATGGCAACCTAGGAATGATGAGTTCTACATCAACACAGACTTCTTCTGCAAGAATGCACGTCGACCGGCCCCGCTTCCGACATTTTCCCCTGGACCACCAACAGACTCCCCGACGGGTGGCTTGGGCGACCTCTTCATCACTAACGGTGATGAGCCTGTATCATCTGAGCAAGTGGAGGCCAAAATCCGACCTGGGTTGGAGAAATCTGTCTGTGAGACATCCGATCCCTTCCAGCCGTCATCCCCGTGGTTTCCAGCCCTGTCTATCTCATCTCCGGAACCCTCAAGAACATCGCCCTGCCATCCGACTCCCACAAAACAGTTCAGTTCTTCTGGCAGTGGTATGTCTCCAAATGCAAATGCAGTAGATGCTACGATAATCTCCATCACTTCTTCACAGGCAAGCTCACCACTATTTTCTGGAGTTATAGGGAGCGGGCACTCGTACACTACGCCTCCTAGCACGGCTCAGACGGCTCAAGGTGTTATTATAGCATTCCCGACGCTCGATCGAAAATTGCCAGAAGAAGAAATGATCCAGGATATCGATGGACTGATTGAGCTTGGATGCCGCAACCGTGGTTCGATTCCTTGGATCACCACCCATCCGGAGGCCGTTGAGCGCATGTTGAATACGTTTCGACCGGGCCAGTGGCTCAATGACGATGCGGTGATGGAATGCCTCTACCGTATGGCCATGATCCGAGGTGATGTGCACGTCGTGGAATCTCATGATTTCAATGCGGCCTACATCCAGCAAAACCCGGCCAGGATCTTTAGGTGGCAGACACCTTCGATAGTTCTGGTTCCCGTTCATGTCGAGCAGACCAGTCATTGGTTTCTGGTGAGCTTGCACTTCGCCCACCGTCAACTTATGGTACACGACCATGAGGACGAGAGGTCCATACCCGTGGCTCATTTCATCCTCTCCGGCGCACCAGAGCTCAGCGGATGGACGGTGAGGTACAGTTTAGTAAGTTCTCCCAGAGTTTATTTCCGCTCAATCCGATTATCTCCGTCTAATTGTTTAGGGTTTAATCAATGACGGCAATAATTGCGGCGTCATTCTGCTCCACGAAGCGGACAAAATCTTGGGACACAGGGACCCAAGCGCTCTAAATTTCGTCGCTCTGCGAAGACGTTACATACAATTGATTGTGGCTAGTCACCCTACGGAAGCTCCCCAGGTTGGCTCGCCCTTTTCCGGAGATGCCAGCACCACCGGCCCTTCATCTGCGGGGTTACTAAGCCCCAGCCCTGATCCCCGGACGGAATCGAAGCCGAAATTCGAAGACCTGCCACCGCAGGTGAGGATGAAGTTCCTTGCCTCCTCAATGGGGTGCAAAGAGGTCTTAGAGGACTTCCGAGATCTGGTCTATATTCTGAAAGACCAGTCACTTCGAGTCCGCAGTGACACTCAACGGACCATGCAGCTGTACAAATGTAGTCGAAATCTTCGGCAAGATGTCCTTTCCGGTCGTACCCCATCCAACGTTACCATTCAGAACACTCTAAGACTCTACGACACTGTCGACTCGCCTGGCCATGCTTCAGAAGCTTTCTGCAACAGCATCCAGGGAGGTGACCAAGATGGCCTGCAGGTAGCGGTTCAACTGTATACCCGAGGCCGCGGCTACACGAAGCTCAGGAGCCTGACACGAGCATTCGGGGCGTTGTCTATAACTTCCACATATCGCGCACTAATGAGCATCCTTCATAACAAATCGAGGCCAGGCGCATCAGAGGATGTCGAGATGCAGTCAGGAGATCAAACGGAGCCTGCCAAACAGGGCCAGGGGTCAGATACGCTTACCTACAAGTACATACTGAAATGTACTCGACAAGATAAAGATCCTAAAGCCCTCCGCCGTCTCAAGAAGGCCAATTACCGGGGCAATTGTCTACACCATTTTGAAGACATCTGCGGGCGCGAACGGCCACTGTGGATGCTACGACCGATAAGAACGATTCCGTGTCCCCTGGATCCTGATTACACAATCAGGCCCGCCTGGTGAGTGTGCCACAAACCTTCTTTTCCAAGCACACACTTATTCTCCTAGTTATGAAAATCTTAACAAACGTAATATTCAAACGTTGGTTGACTTGGTCAGGGACATTAACCCTCGACTTTGGGATTTTTTACCACGCTGTGGGCGAGGGATTGAACGAATGCTCGCTGGTGAAGCTGTTGATGACGGA